CAGAAGTCATAGTCAATACGTGATGGACGCGTGGCATATGATATCACATCAAAAACAGACAAACCGCATGCTGTTGCTGACACGCGCTTTGGGAAAGCAAACAATTAATTGCACCCTTCTGTTGACGAGACCGCATTCAATACGGTAAGGTTCGGATATGAAAGGCAATAAATGCTCCTATTACATAGCATTTATTGCATCCCTCCCGAAAGGAGCATATTGTACCGTCGGCGTCCCGACGACTCAGCATTGATTGCTCGGGACCCCGAGCAATCAATTAGAGAAGACATTCCTCATCAAATCAATACACACGCTACCTGTGCCTGATGATCACCTACTGACCACACTGACAGCAATCATGAGCTTTTAAGGTATAAATACTCCTCCCAAAAGGCAAAGCAGGTAAGCAATAAAAGACTCTCTACTACAATACAGATTTTCTCAGTGTTTTCTTCTTCCTCTCTCTCATTCAAAGACTGACTAGACCGTCGGAGGGGATACGTCGGAACACACTCCGGCACCCTTCTAACTTGTTCCTCTTTATTCCAGGAAAACCTTTCACACGTACAGGATCGTTCTTCCTTTCCCAGGATTTTTCTTTGCCGTTCCAGGTTGCCACCGTACCTTGTAGGCTGTTTCAAGCAGTGTGTTTGGTCATTCAACCGGTTCACTCAAAGTTCACCAGCGGAGAGATCTGTTCCCAATATTTTTTATATTGTGCAGGATCTTGCACGCACACATCCCTTGCAATTAAGTTGCAATTTAGGATTCAACTTGAACTTAACTCAATATCTTTAATTTCAACTTCTTATTCAAAATTTGGATTACATCACAATTGTATAACTCTATAATAAAAATTCGAATCGACTTCGCACTCAATTTGAATTAACACACTAACTCATAGACAGAATATGTGTTCAAACTCAAATTTTGATTGTATTCTAATTAAAAATTTTACTATAACTTAGATTGAACTATCAATTTGTACGACCCATCTATCTAACCCATTGGCAGGATGCGAAATTTTGCACATTGGCCATGGCCATGGCCAACAATAATGGAAGAGTTACCTTCCAAAAAAAAAAACAACAATAATTGTAGAGCGGACGCTGTTGGGTCACACCCAAATAAAATTCAAACTTAAGGACCACCGGCGGCTGCAAAGTTCTAATCAAAACAAACAAAAGATAAGTTTTTAAAGGGCGTCAAAGAAATTTGAATGGCTCTAAAGGGCAAACGATTTTGGTGGGTCCTACGGTTGGTAAGCAAACAGAGACGCAATTTCTAGTGGTAGGTCAAGTGATATTGACGAATTATAAATTTATATATTCTAAATTTTGAATCTTATAAGTGTTTTGGGATTATATTATAAAAATTTTATTCTCCATAAATATTTTAATTTTGGCATTAATAACTTGTCCTTAGTCAGATCGAAAAAAAATTAATTGAGAGGGGCATAAGTTGATTTGAGGCCGAACACCCCCCACCGTTAAATCGAAAAACTAAGAAAAAAATTCAGTCACACCCTTTCTAATTTATCATATTTTCAAGGACATTCCTTTTATTATCCAAAATATTATTAACACTCATTCTAATTTATATTTAAATATCACTGATACCCTCGGTCGTTAAATCACTATTTATAACAAAAATAAATTATCTAAAATACTTAAATTGCCTCTACATAAACCCAAAACAATTTTTCTATATAAAAATTGAGTCGATTAAAATTTATTTTTCTAGATATTAAAATTTGAGCTGATTAAAATTCTTTTTTTTATATTAAAATTTGAGTCGATTAAAATTGATGAAAATTTATTTTTTTATATATTAAAATTTCAGCTTATTAAAAGACTTTTTTTATGTATTAAATTTCGAGCTGACTTTTTTTTATATATTTTTTTATTTATTAAAATTTGATTCAATTTGATTAGAATTATTTTTTATGTATTAAAATTTGAGTCAACTAAAATTTTTTTTTTTATGTATTAAAATTCAGGTCGATTAATATATAATGCGAATTGATTAAAATTTGATTTGATTCTCGAGTAAAATTTTATTCAAATAAAATTAAAATAAGTAAAAAAATTTAATTTTTAATCGACTTAAATTTTAATTAGCTCGAATTGAATTTTAAATAACCCAAATTTTAATACGAAAAAAAAATTTAGAAAATATAGGAGTCTCATTGAAGATATGTCTATTTAGGATGTGTGAATTAAGTTTTTCCTAAAATATATCATAAACAATTTAGTAAAATTATATTATAATTAACACTTTTAATCTAAGAAGGGGTGTAAGTGAATATTCAAAAAATATAAGAAGTGTCCTTAAAGATATAATTAACTAGAAGAAGTATGACTAAAAAAATTTATTATTGTACAGCTAGGATAGCTATCTTTTTTTTTTCTTTTTAAGGAACCATGTAGCAGTATATTAATTCCAAATCATAGAATTACAAGAAGCAAAGCTTTACAAAGAACGGAAAAGAAAAAAACCAAAACATGGCTCTAATCCTTCAAAACACACAAACAATTTCAAAACTTATACATGAAACAATCACCCAAAAATCAAATCAATTATGCACAGACAACATCACCCTCTCCATTCTTAAGACAGGGAGCACCCTTTGATCGCACTTCAGTTTATCAATCACACCTCTGGGCGAAGTCCAGAAGATATTTTGGGGTCAAGAGATGAAGTTTTTGAGCTTCAAAAATATCTAATCAGGACACTAGTTATTTTACTACTAGCCTTGATGTTTGAAATGGCTTTGAAGTTCAAAGTTTTTCAGGTGCTAACCCACAAAGACAAGACTTTCTTAACCCATAAAGACAATATTTTATATAACTGAATCATAGAAAATATTCCCAAAGAACATATTTTTGAACAGGATCATATTTAATTCAATCATAGGACTTAAACAAATCATAACTGTTATAAATTACAAAGACAAAAAATTAGCAGTTGATTGGAAGAGTATGCAACCAAGAATCAAATAGTATAACAAAGTAAGGAAAATTCTCTTCTTTTTTTTTCTGGTATTTTGACAAACACCTTGTCTGCATTGTAAAGCATTTCACTAGGTCACTTGCGAGTCATAACACTAGGTCACTTGTGAGTCATAATTTGCCAATCAACAATGAATAATCATGGATCAACTGCATTGAGGAATTAACTGAGATTGGTGGAAAGGTCTGGTCGATCTAGTCCTGGTCATCGATATGGTCCCTTGCATCACAAAGAGATGAGAAAGAGGCAGAGAATGGAGGTACTGCCATAGTTCCAGTGAGGGAGGAGTAGTCATAGAGGTGATACGAGCACAGAGAGAGAGAGAGAGGATGAACAGTACCGCGGTGGTGAGAGGAGAACAAAGAAGATGCAGAAAGTCGGGACGAGCGGGTTTTTCGCTTAGATGAAGTGGGTTCGTTACCGATTGATTTGGGAATGGGTAATAGCAAGATTAATTCGGTAATCTTAATCTTATGTTTTGTGGATTAGTCATTCTAACGGAATGATTAAGAATGAGAATGAATTTCATTACCATAAACCAAACAATGGAATAAGTGTTACTAAGTAATAATGATTCTATTTCCAAAATCTAATACTACATATCAAAAGCAGCATTAGACTTCGGTATAATAAGTTTGTTATAAAACGGGTTAACATTAAAGTGATATATAGGGCTGGTTGGATTATTTTTCAAAACGTAATTAAACTCTTAAAAATTAATTCCATTAGATTAAATCACAATTTTGATGATTTTTTTCGCACCCCGCAAATTAAGCAATGATAAACAAATAAATTATCAGATAAAATAATTTCATTTCCACCCATTTAATCCAAGGAAGAAGAGTTGGTGTTGGAGAGGTGGACATAGACACGCATGCTCTGACCAGAAATTTCCCAAGTTTGGCAGACCCTATGTTCTTTGGAGCAATCAAAGGAAGAAAGTTCTCATGTTGAGAGCCACATCTAAGTCAACAATTACTGCACACAATAACCATGCTAGCGCCCAAAATTTGTAGAAACAATGTGTGATAACTTGGTTATTAATTAAAAATAGTAAATTATATTAGGATCTCACATTTAGTGTATAAACTAATTTTAAATCTTACCGAATTTTTAGTATACAAAAAAGTCTTTCAATTTTTTAAAAAAACTTACATGTGATTGTTGGCGTGAACGTTAAGGAATTGATTAGATATTGATTATCGATACCCATTTTACCCTCATCACGTGATTTTAGATTAAAATATAGTGAATTTTTTTTTCTTTTGTTATTGAAGTTTTTGTAATATTGTCTATTATTATTGAAATTCAAACTTGTCAATGAAATAATTTAGATATTATGATGACATCTGACGATAAATATTTTAGTATATTTGGCGCAGGAATGACAATGATAATAGTGCAGAGAAGCAACGTTTGTTGCCAACGTCCTCTGTCGTAGCATCTTCATCGACCACCAACCCTCCTACCCAAATATTCTTATAGGGGCCAAACCCTTTGAAGTCCCTAATCATCAATACATGCTTTGTTGCTACAAAAATCAAGATGTTGGTGTTCGTCAGCAAACTCTATTCGCAACTCATTCAGCTTCTTATTGATCGTTGTTGAAGAATTCAATTGCGGCTTAGTGTTCACTGAGGCTGAAAATGGTTGTCAATCACTACGTGAGATGATAAACCAATGGGTATTGTCGAAGCAGTGGAAAAATGTGTTTTTGTATTCTTGCTAATCGGAGAAATCTCATAGTAATGATCATTGATTTTGGTTGTCCATGGAGTAAATTTTTATGTTTTTGGTGAAATTGATGGGTAACGAAGAGTGAGTGAGATGGTGTCGATATTGTGAGAGATATGGGACTGTGAAGAACTGCAGAAACCCTAATTTTATTGATGCACAGAGAGAGAGAGAAAGAGACAGAGATGGTGGAGGAGGAAGCGGCGGCAAGACATATAGCGACGGTGGGTGTTGAGGTGTTCACTATAAGTATCTTAATTGCCTACATGGGCCCCTTCACTGCCTTTCCTGCATACCAGCACCTTCTTCATCCTCCACTTGGGCAGCAAACATTGATCCTGATGCAGCACCAGCTTCCTAGCCACAGGCAAGGCACCGCTGCCTGAGAAATCAGCACTGCCCTCAGACTGGACAGCATGTGAGGCCAGAAAATCAGCCAACCCATTGGCTTCTCTGAACACATGATTGATTTGAACATCCATGTGGGTGGAATCAATTGTTCCTTAATTACTCCATCAGTTTTTTATTAAATATATATCCGTGAGACGTTAGGGGTTAATTGGTATTATTATTCTTTTCATTGCATCCATCCACAAAATGTTAGAAACGGGGGCTACTAGTGTTATTTCTCATACTAATATCTGAAAGATCGGTCTAATTAAGTGACAAATTTTAGTCGGGTTCAAATGTAATTTTCTTTATTATTTATACCTTTTATCGGTCTAATTAAGTGACAAATTTTAGTCGGGTTTGAATGTAATTTTTTCTATTATTTATACCCTTTAATTAGAGTAGCAGAGGAATTAATATTACTTGGTACTGGCAATTTTCTCAAGGCCGATGATGTTTTAAAAATTTACCGACATCGTCTGATACTCTCAGCTGATAGTAGAATTTGAACTGTACTGAGGCCGTGTTGGATAGGCCGAACTTGCTTGGTTTGTAGAATTATTTTTCGCTATTACTACTTTAATTATTCTTCTTTTGGTCATCATTCAAAGGGGAAATATTCATTAAATTGCCCGTCTTCTATTGACCAGATTGATTTGTTACTTTTCGAGAGGGTTTTGTCTCCGCTTGTTATTAATCGTCTGTCCTCTTGTTTTATCTAATTTGTTTTTTCTAATGTTTTTATACTGTGGTTCAATTAATGAGCGGTTGGTTTGATGGATAACATTTCAAATTTTCTCGCTCGGTAATTAACTATTAAAATTGTTATTTTATTATATTTAATGATTGATTAATTTCATATTATTTATAATTAAATTTGTTAGATTCCTTGATTTTTAGTTTAATACTTGTTTTAGTTGTTTGATTTATTTTATAGGTAATTTGATTGATTTAAAATAATAATGAATAAAACAAGTGAATCAAATACCAAAAAAATAATCACAATTGATAAGAATTGACAGGTCAAAATTAGAAGAGGAAGATTTGAAGATAAAATATCAATTTAATTCTTATAAGAGTTCAAGTTAGTTAGTAGAAAACTCATTTAGAGTTGCATTAAAAAAGTATTATTTTGACACATGTTCAATAATTTGTCATAAATTTTTACTCTGATGTCTGATTCACCTTATTTTTATTAAGTTAGAAAGAAGACTTCAACAGATATAAAAGTGTATTTCATGAAAATTTCGTGAATTAATCTCAAACTGTGAAAGAATCGAGCTTGAAGTTTAGACAGATATGGTACTCGCATCTCCGAGATTTGATGAACAAGTTTTGACCTAAAAAAACTCCAATTTTACAAGGACTTGTCCAAGCCAACCCTAACCTCCTTAATATAAATATAAGTTCTTTCCTTTAAGAGGGGGAGAATTCTAGATTCAATCCTTTTTTTTCTTTTTCTTTTTATGTTTATTGATTGCTAAACTCTCAATAAAAGTTAGAGGACATATTGTCAATAAAGTACAATATTCTTTTTGATCCAATATTCGTTTAAATTAATTCATGTCTTCTAATAAAATTTTTATTCTGTATAATGCTTGAAATTTCTTACAAGTCAAATAATTGATTTTGTATATTTGGAATAATTATCTAAGATTGTCATAAAATAGTTGATTTATTATTTGTTATAAATTTAGAGTTTATTTGTTGAAAATCTTGATTTATTGTAGATTTTGAGTGCGGTGAATACTTTTGATTTTTTCAATATTATTACCATCAAATATTGTGACTAGGATCCGTTCTCAACTGATTCTCAATTAAATTCAAAAACTGGGTCATAACCATTTGTCTTGTGGAATTGAAAAGGTATCCCTAAAACTTTATTATTCTCATATTGTTATAAAACCAAAATTTAATATTTCCAAACTCAGCAATTTCAAACGATGTCAAATAATTTTTTTTTTTATTTTTCTTTGCGTTTTAAGTATTCATAATTTTCTATGGTTCGATATTGGACTTTCGAATATTATATTACTTCACGACAACCTGCACTTGAGTAAACAATTTTCAAGTTGTAGAACTCAATACTTGGGTTCGAGTCTCCACAATTACAATAACTCGTTAGGACTAAACTTATTCTCCAACGTCCAGAACACACGATGGAACCTTAGTTTTGGCCCTGATGTATGTAAGGGGGTCCACTAGAAATAGTTGTGTGGTACTGAGGGGCAATATTTCATGACCGATACGTTGAGTGATTTATCTACATATTTACTGTTTGTATTTAAAACAAAAAGAAAAATGCTATTTGAACTTCAAATGTAGACTTAATCAATCACAACCATCGAATAAATAATGAGTCCTAATAAATATTATGACCCATAATAAAATTAATGATAGTACTTGATCAAATCTATATTTTAAGTCCACATAGCATTACTCAAAGCAAAATAGTGTGGTTCTAGTTGATCAGTTGCTTCCATCAAGGCTGGTTTTGTAGTTTGTGCTGGCCGTCGGAAGGCTGGAACTTGATATGTCCTATTATATTTCTTCGCTTGGAAAGTTTTGGTCCATAGTTCATAACCTCATTTTTTTGAGAATGGCAATTCCCAGCCGTTAGTTATTAGTTAGTTAGTTGTAGGATTAGTTAATTGGTGTAGGATAGGAGGCGATGTAGATGTGTGATGGGATTTTTCTGAAATATCCTATGATGAAGACACGTGTCCTCGGTTTTACTAAAATACTGTTGCTAGGATCAAGCACCATCGACGTACGAAATGCCCTCGCCCCCGAGGTACCGTCATATAGGATTATACACAGTATATTATACAACCGACACGCGTCCTCGGTCAGATACGTACCTCGGTCGGCATAAACTCCCTCGGTCCCCGAGATCAGCCTTTCCTCGGTGCCGAGAGGTACTCCGTCCTGGACGCCTCCTCTACTCCAAGATAAGCTACTGACGTACAGGTCATCAGCCTAGGCTATTCTAGGCTATTCATCATAACCTCGTCTTGCACAAGTAATGTCAGAACGTACTGGAATGCAGAGGTCACAACTAATAGGAGATGGACGCGTGGCATATGATGTCACATCAGAGACAGACAAACCGCATGTCGTTGCTGACACGCGACTTGGGAAAGCAAACCATTAATTGCACCATTCCCTTGATGAGACCGCATTCAATGCGGTAAGACTCGGAAATGAAAGACAATAAATGCTACTATTACAGAGCATTTATTGCATCCTCCCCGAGAGGAGCACATTGTACCGTCGGCATCCCGACGATCCAACATTGATTGCTCGGGAGCCCGAGCAGTTAATTAGAGAAGACATTCCTCATCAGAATCAATGCACACGCTACCTGAGCCTAATGATCACCTACTGACCACACTGACAGCAATCATGAGCTTTTGAGGTATAAATACTCCTTGCAAAAGGCAAGACAGGTATGCAACAACAAACTCCCTACTACAATACATTTTTCTCAGTGTTTTCTCCTTCCTCTCTCTCACTCAAAGACTGACTAGATCGTCGGAGGGGATACGCCGGAAAACACTCCGGCGCCCTTCTAACTTGTTCTTCTTTGTTCCAGGAACCTTGTTCAGCCTTACAGGATCGTCCTTCCTTTCCCAGGGTCTCCCGTTGCCGTTCCAGGTTATCACCGTACCTTGCATGCTGTCCCAAACAGCGTGTTTGGTCACTCAACCGGCTCACTCGAAGTTCACCAAGGGAGAGATCTGTTCTCGTTTTTTTATATTGTGCAGGATCTTGCACGCACAATCTGGCGCCGTCTGTGGGAAACGACTAGTTTCCTAGTTTTTTCTCTATAAAGAATAGTGACCATGGTGAACACTAGACAGAAAGGGAAAGGACCCCACCAAAGGAGTCTCGAGTTACAAGCTCTCTGTCATCACGGAGGGAGGGATCACACCAATTCAAATAAAAGTGCCTCTACTCGGTCAAGAGGGGTCACCCCTCTAACCAGTATGGGAATCAGGTCAGGGGGATCAGCCCCCTTGGTTCGTCAACTGGCACAGGTGATTGAAGAGAAATTTGGCGATAGATTACGTCAACTGGAGAAGGACAATGTAAACGTCCTTAGCCGGCTGGACGAGTTTGCCGCCTCAGGCGGAGGTTCGAGGGATTCATTCCTTTCCCCTGGACTTCCCGCCCGGGAGGCAGAAACGAAGGATCTAAGAAACCACCTAGACCACAAAGCAGAAAGCTTCAGGGCCCCAAAGCGACCCAGAGCCGGCGAACATCATCATGACAACCATTCCAGGAGAGCAAGGCCATTGGCCCTGGATGATCTCCGACGAGGTTTGTCCAGACGGAGGAAGGGAGATGAATCCGAGGAGGACTCAACCCAATCCGCACGTCGCCCAGGAAATGAGGGGCTTACCAATGAACTCAGGGACTTCAGAAGGCATCCCGTCCGGGAAGAAGTTGATCTCAGAGCCCGATTAGAGTCCAGGAGAAAGGGTAAGACTGTCCAGGATGAGGCCGAGGACGAAGTCATACAAACACCCTTCACAAGGGAAATCAGTGAGATGGAGGTCTCAAGAAAGTTCGTCGTGCCACGGTTCAAAACCTATGACGGGCGGTCCGACCCCGAAGCCCATATCAGGCAATACAAGCAGATGATGTCCCTCTATCATTCGGACCAACGGTTTCTCTGCCGAGTGTTCCCTATGAGCTTGGGGGACTCTGCGATGAAATGGTTCGAGACGCTTCCCCCAAACAGTATTGGGTCCTGGAAGGAATTGACTAGGCAGTTCTTGACCCGATTCATTACGGGGAGTAAGCGCCCCAAAGACATTGGATCATTATTGACCCTCAGACGAAGGGAACCCGAAACTCTTCGCCAGTACGCCATCCGATATTGGGAAGAGGTCAATGAGGTAGAAGGCTGCTCGGAGGTCATGGCAGCGGCATCTTTCCGGCTCGGCTTGGCGAGGGACACGGACCTGTACCGATCCCTGACCAAGAAGACTCCCTCGGATATGGGGGAACTGATGGCCCGGATCAACAAGTACTCGAGAGTGGAGGACGAGATGGGAAGCAACAAAGGCCGAGCCCTCCAATCCAAGAGAAAGGAGAAGGAGCGCGAAGATATTCCCCGA